TGTGTGTGTGTGTGTGTGTGTGTGTGTGTGTGTGTGTGTATTGCCCTATGTTGTGTATTCCATAACCATGGGACAGGAAAGGACTTTAGGCTGTGATGTCATACATGCACTGAGAGAGGCAAAACACAGTATTAAACACTGACACAGATTCACAGTGACACAGTTAGGTACACAATGACACATTAAAACACACTAGCATACAAGAAAACACAACCCATGTTTGCCAGTAGAGGGGGTTACTCCATTCCAGCAATGGGCACTCAGACATCCCCCCCACCCCATCTTCCCATCTCTCTCATTCTCTCTCTCTCTCTGTCTCTCTCTCTCATTCTCTTTCTCTCTTCTCTCCTATCTTTTTCTCTCTTCTCAATCTCCTCTCAAGCTTTTTTTCTCTCTCAGTCCACCTATACACTCTACTTGCTCCATGAGATTTGTTCTGTATCCCAATCTGGAACTCACAGTACTGGGGGAATGAGACACAGCCCCACCCTGGGGAACAGGCACATGGTTTCACAGACCACGCCAAGGACTCCTATAACATTTATCATCTAGCCTTGTACCACATCATATAATGAACAAACTCATGCAAGTCTCACTATGCATTAATAAGGGCCCCTTTTGTGTACATCAACCCCACCTTTATGTTCTGTGGAGCATATGATCCAACTGTGGGATTGGAGATGGTGAACTTCCCTGGATGCTGCAACCCAGAAATCTTACCTTAGCCCTCAGCACTTTCTTTCTATCTGAGATCAGCTTCTTTCTGTTCCCAACTCAAGTCACCATTTCTGTATCCCAGGTAGGTGCTGAAAACCTTTGGAGCCTTCCCTGCCCTGTGCCTACCAGCTGACATGTTCTGTCAATCAAACAAAATATGTATTGAACATCTAGTTTGTGCCCAGCACTGTGGCACTGGAGGAGGAGAAAGAGAGGCAATTAAAAGTCTGAGCCATCTTTACTGCCCTCAGGGAACTTATCTTCTAGGTGAGGAGACAAGGCTAAGACACTTGAAAGGATGATACAAAACATTATAAAATTAAGTGTGAAGTTGAGTGGTACCGACTTTTGGAGCTGTTAGGATTTAAAAGAGGGAGATCAGTGAGAACTTCAGAAGCCTGGGAAAACTTCATGGGGGAGGTAGAACTTGAATTGGGCCTTGAAGGAGGTTGGGAGTTGGGAGGTGGGAGGGAGGCAAGGTACAGGAGCAGAGTCGGGAATGAACATGATGTGCCGGAAATAGTGAACTACCATACAGATTAACACGGGGTGTAGGCTGCTTTGCATAGTTTCTGGAAATAAGGTTGGCTAAGTAATGATGCTCGTGGTGGTAGTGGGAAGCCCACCTCCTTGGGCAGAAATGAGTCCATGTCACCCCAGAAGAATCTTCTCTGCCAAATATCACCCCTACTTGGATCTTCTACTAGGTTTTCTGTCCCTGGGGATCACTGCCCCCTTCTTGGCTTCATAGCAAGTTGAGGGATGTTGCTTTTGGGGGAATAGATTAGGGAGCGGTCTGGCCAAAGCTCTTCTTCGATCCTAGAATAGTTTAGGGTATGGTTAGTGTTTCCCCTCTTCCCCACCTTCCTTCCTTTCCAGCTCAGCTCTGTGGAGGAAGGAGGAGGGGGAAGGGATGAGGAGAGAAGGAGAGGAGGAGAGGAGGAGAGGAGGAGAAAAGCCCCCTACTCCACCCCCCCTCCCAATCTCTTCCCAGCCAGCTGCCATCCACCTTGGGCGCCTTACCGAGTCAGACCACTGGGAGGCTTGGGGGAGCCGGCCTGGGCGAGAAGGCGAGCGAGATGGTGGAGCTCTTATTTTGACAGGGGCCTCTCCGGGCTCTGGTATGAAGGCAGAAGGAGGCAGCCAGAGCCCCGATGCTTATTCAGGCTGGGGAGAGGAGCGGAGCGGAGAGGAGAGGGACCGGGAAAGAAGGAGGAGGAGAAGAAGGAGAAGGGGTGGAGGAGGAGGAGGAAGAGGAGGAAGAAGCGGTGGTGGAGGAGGAAGAGGAGGAGGCGGAGAGAGTCAGAGGAGGCAGCCGGACATGCCCAAGACCCGGTCCCGCTGGACCCCCGCCGGACGCCCGGACGCCAGGACGCCAGGGTCCCCCCGCTGGCCCCCCGCTGGCAAGCTGTGACCGGGACTCTCGGCGCTTGACCGACACTGCGAGTCCAGAGCCCCAGCCTCCCCAGCCCGCCGGGAGCACAGCCGTCCTCGCAGACCTCCGAAGAAAGTGAAAGGACGAGCGGAGCCCGGGCGCCGAGCTTCGGGGCCGGAGCCTCTCTACCTCCTCACCGCCGCCCCATCCCAGGCCCCTGCCGGTGCCCCGTGCCCAAGACCATGCCCCGGGGCTCGGAGGCAAGAAGCCAGGCTTGGTGCGCCCCCCGGAGCCTCCCTTCGGGGCCCGGCCGGTGTTGAGATCCACGCGCCAGGATCAGAAAAGGACCAACACCCACCCCCCATTCCGACTGGTATATAGCACCGTACCCAAAATCCAAAAAGCGAGAGAAAAAATCCCCCGCCCCAAGACCTGATCATGGAGTCCACCCTCGGCCTGGCGTGAAGATATCCCCGGACCCCAGGATCCAGGTAAGAGGGGGGCCGACAAGCAGGGTCACTAGTTTGAACGGAGTCCAGAGAGAGAGACACTGGGGCAATAGGCTTGTTGTCTTGCACCCTAGTGGTTGCCCTCCAGTCTATTATGGGGCATCTGTGTCCTCCAACCCCAGATGGACCTACTATGCTACCACCCTCCTTGGGCCCCCACTAGGCCAGTTGGCAGCATAATGGTCTGGCGTGGGGGTAGTTTGGGAAGGGGGGGGAAGCTGCAACCTTAACACAGAGAACAAGGCCGGCCTGGGGCCAGC